AACGAGAAGGCAGTGAAGTAGGACTTGTTCAATGAAGTAGTTCTTGACACATGAGTTTTACATGATTATTCACTAAATTGTCTAATCTCAGGAAGTCTCAGCATGTACAGCAAAGAAAGGCATCACTCTTGTTTCCAGTAATTCTGCAAGTGAACCCTAATGTAGCTTGAGGATGTGGACATTCACCAGTTAGCATAGAAAGATGCAGATTAGTAGAAGGAACAGGGCTCTAAGTGGTCCAGCTTTCACACTTGACCTGGCAATCCATCACATATGACACTATTCTGTCAAATAGCAGCATATGTTTATGCAAAATCTGCTCTAAAGTATGGCAAAACGTCAGAAAAAGAAGTGAAAAGTCTAAGTTAGCCTTGGCAGGAATAAGTGTTATATAGTGACTGCATTTAGCTGATAAGGAAGGAAAGGAAGAGGAAATAAGACTGTACATTATATTAAAGGTGACAACTCTGTATGGTACAGGAGCCTAGACCTCGTCCTTATCAGCTGCTGAAAATGATAGTTGCCATGCAGAATCTGGAAGGAAATAAAGTATATGATGATTGGGAGGGGGAGTGCAATGAAAAAATCCAAAAGGGAGGCAAGGGAGAGGACAAGTGGACAGTAGGACAGCCTGACCTTCCAGAGAGACTAAAGCAAGACAGGTTATGTGATGGAAGAAGTGAAGAGCAGAGTAAAAAAGGTTCTGGGATTACTGATGTGAAGATGAAACTAATCATAATCGCAGCTGAGGACAAAAGACAAGTTAAAAAGGAGAAACAGAGTGCAACCTAATATAAAATGTTAAGGACTTGTGGAGACACAGCCTACTGAAGAGCTCTCAGGATCATATGCAGACCACAGCACACATAATGAGGCACTCAAGCAGCAGCTGAAAAAAACAAAAGGCAAGCTGATGGCACTTAGTGCAAATTTCTACTAAGTGATAAAGTTGCAACAAGTAATAAAAAGTCCTGAGAAGAAACTTTCTGGAGTACAAAGACTTTAGCAAGCTGGTAACAGAAGGGAGGACAGTGAGAGTTGAGGTGTCAAGAAAAGCTAAGGTCAAAAAAAATACTGAGCATGATGTTAATCTGATGTTCTGTCAAGGGAGCTGGAACCACTTCAGGAAGGCTTTCTCCACTCCTCTGCTCTGACCACATGCCACTGAGTACATATCAGAAATGGCCACTCATAAGGTGGTTGTGGCTCCTATTTCTGCGCTACTCGGCTGCAATATAAATTACAAAAAAGGAAGAAAACTGTAATGTCACAAACATTTGTAATGAAACTTATAAAAAAATCCATGCAAATGGAAAACTGCAGAGGGCAAAGCTGTTCTTTGCCACAACCTTTTCTGTCCTGTAACATCCTTGGTTCCCACAACACACCTCATAACCCAAAAATAAGAAACTTGTTCCACGTGAATCCGTGTCAGCTGACATAAGAGAGGAAAAGCCAAGCTTGCTTTGTTTATAAAAGTCTTACAGTGTCCACATGTTACTTTTCTCTGGCTGGGCTTGAAGAGATACTTGCTGAAATCTGAGTTCTGATACAATGAAGTCTCCAGAAGAAGGTGGACACCAAGCACTACTGCAACACGGCACTCTCACTGGAATCAAGAAGGAACTCAAAATGAGCCACTTACAAAGGAAATTAGTAAAGTGACAAATGCCAATTGCAGAAATAAGACTAATAAGCAGAAAAAAAAAATGCCCAGTGTATGAAAACTGGATGTGACAGAGAGAAGGTTTTTTGGGAACTCCTTGAAACTCCAGTTGGATAGACAGATCACTTTTTTACTATTGATCTAGATTGTTTCATATCTTCAATGCTGCAAGTAAAGAGGTCCCGTTTCATGGAGAGGCACTGTCAAGAGACTGAAATTCAGTCAGAGACTTTTCGTTGGAAGAGGATCAATGCTGTTACACTTGAGTCCTCAAGACCTGACAGGTCTAATTCCAGGTCCTTTGAAATACTGCATTCAGCCTAAAGAAAGGCACTCTGCTGTACCCCCAATAAGAGAAATTTAATTCCCTGCTGCCTCTGCACATCAAGCCAGAATGGCAAACTTTTGTAGGGCACTGCACAGGTGCACTTTCAGGTATGTCCTCACAATGCTTGCTTAATGTCAACTGTGACAAATTAGACAAATATAAAATCTTTTAAAGTGCCAAATCATAGCCTCAGAACAGAAGCTTCTGGAGACTTCAGTGAAGCTCCACAAACACAGCTTAGCTTCCTTGTAATAGGCACTTCTATCTCCCAGCCCCTATGGTTAGGACATACAGTTAATGAATACAGTTTTAACTTTGTAAACTCAAGAAGGGCAGTAAAAAACTGGGAAAAGGAATTCCAGTCTTTCACAAGGCAGAGCAAGACAAACTGCAGTAGGATACCTCCCACCGGGGTATTGCAAAACAACATGGATGAATAAATAGGCTGAAGTGTGCATACATCAGGATACCAAGCAAGTTATTTGCATCTGATGAATCCAAGATGTATCTGTAAGGACGGATGGACAGGCACATCTCTCAGGCTGCTTCCAAGTCAGCTAGTCAATCTACACCATATGCAGATTACCTAAATGGCTCCAGGGACGTCTGCATCACCCAGTCGGTGCAGTCTCCATTAGAGATTCCAGCACTAGCTGTGAGCTGGCTTGTAAGCCAATACAGCACTCAGTGAAATACTAGCTTAGGTCTTGGAAGCAATACAGATGTCTTCTTTAGCCTACACTCATTCATTTGCTTGTCTCTACCTTCTGGAGGCTGCTTCCTCCCTTAATATCTGTTCAAAACAACGACCTCCTCTCCCCAAAACAAAAAAACAAGAAGACACATCTGCAGATAACAAATTCATGTGCTTTGCAGGCTGAAAAAGAAATATAGGTCTATTAAGGGAATGGGAGTATCCTGAACTCTTATTGCAAAATTGGAACTTTTATTAAGCTTTTGTACAGATATGATTGTTTTACATTCTTAAAGATTTTGAAGCAAATGGTTTCATGAAACTATTTAGGTTTTTGCTTATATAAATATACTACTTGATATTTATATATGCTCTGGTCTCTTTCTATAGGAATAGTGGAAGGTATAGCAATGCATTTACTGTTAGACAACTTGTAAACAACTATGTATATTATTTCACTCAGCCTGTCTCTCCATTCAATTCACAAACATTTGAAATTACAGTAAAGGCCAAAAAACATAATGGATGGAATCCATGCTGAAAACAATGGGGTAGCCAAACTAAGCTCTCCAAAGCAATCTAATGCACTGCACTGAACATCTATGCTCGTTGTAAGATGAGTAATGTGACAAACACTACCTGCAAACTGAAAATTATCATCAAATCCCACCCACATTTCACCATAAAGCCTGAGAGGAAAAACAGAGGTTTGACTTAGTATTTCCAGCAGGTTAAAAACAGAACCTCTCAGGAATCACAGGTGCAGAAAGAAATGTTCCACTTGGGATGAGGCACGGAACCCTTCACCCTTGCTAATCCCCTGTGATTTAAATCGTGCAGTCTCACTTATTCTACCAGAGGCTTACATTTAATGCCTTTATTAATTAGAAAAATTAATATGTTTAAAAATGCAAGCATTTAACAGTCTCACCAGGGTCAGCCACACCTTCCCGTCACTGCTGGGGAACGGGACAAGTTCCCATATCACTGTTTGTTTCTGGGCGCAGCACTGCATTTTCGGCTATACCCCTGATAGCGAGATGACGCCCTTCAGTTTGCACTTGAGGGAAAAGGCACTGAAACCTCCTGCAGACTCTTGGTGTCATGCACTCAGGTAATGCAATGCAACAGCAGTCAGCCACACCTTCAGCTACACTGTGGCTATGCTCAGTATTGATTTTCTGAAAAGCTGGGTTGGGCAAAAGAGGTGTATGAGATTGCACTGCAGAAACCAAAAGGAAATCTAGAACTTAAAGGAAATTTCACAGAATGGCACAAAAAACTCAAAAGCTTAAAAAAACCCTAAATAAATAATTTTTTAAATCACATTTTCACAGCTATTATTTTGCACCACTGGAAATACTGTGCAGGGTGATCTTTCTGCTGCAAATTTCGGCATGTTCTTTATCCTCTCAGATGTTTTGTTACATTCAGATATTCACACTCCCACTGTTAATAGTTCTTTTTTTTCCACAGCAGCAGGCTTTGACCAGGAGTCAGCTAACCTCTCTAAGACTAGCAGCTGGAAAGTGAAACAAGTATTACTGACGCCATTAGTTTTGTGCATCCAGCCTTGAGGTTTTGTTGCTGTTGGGGTGGGGGTTTTTTGTTTGTTGTGGTTTGGGTTGGTTTGTTTGGTTGGTTTTGGTTTGGCTTTTTTTTTTCCTGTTCCCAGTTAGAGCTTGCTGACTAGTTAGTTCTGTACAGTTTCTTTCTCCCACCATTCATACAGAAAGTTCTCACACTGCCCTTCTGTCATCCTCTGTTGACACTGGAATATGATCTGATTTACAGGTGCTTCTCTCTGCTCCCTTCCTTCTTCTGCTCTACATTCAGATCAGAATAAAAGCAGCCTATTTGTTCACCTCAATTACAATGCAAAGACTGTATGGGATAGACTGAAAAAGGATGTGTCTGTTCTGACCCAAAGATACCACCTTACAGGGAAATATATGCAATAAAGTATACCAGTTCAAGTTTCTTTTTTCCCAGTTTTTAAAAAGCATGCATGCCATTAATACCTGTGCTCAGAGTTCACCATGGAGTTCTGTTAAATCACAGAGCTGGATTCAAATTTATTTCTGCTTCACGCTTGGAATTCTTTTTTGCAAACCCAGCATATGTACTCACTTTGGAGTCTAAAGCAGCAGGTGTCACGTTCAGAGGAGGGACAGAGATGCATGCACTTCGCAAAAAGCAAAGTACAAATCGCTGCCGTTTAGCAGAGGGAGAATTTAAATTTAATTCCACTAAAAGCAGGGAGAACAAGCGGTGTGTGTGCACAGGCTGGCAGCGGACGCATGTGCGCTTACCTCAGCCCACTGCTTGGCTCTTCATCGGAGGAGGTGCCGTTGCAGATATTGCCGAAGGAGTGGCTGGGCTTCAGCTTGGGTTCCTCACAGTCTAAGGCAGGCTCTCTTTTCTTCCTCTTGCTGAAGAGCTTCTTGAAAGGCTGGAATTTGCCTGCCTTTTTCTTGTCTGCGGATGACAAGACAGAGCGGCGCGGGGCTGAGGGACGCGGCTGGCGAGCACACGCCGCGGCAGCAGGTTCAAAGGAGGAATGAGGTCAAAGAGCAAGTCACCAGCCCGGAGCAGCCCGGCACTTGAGATGTAAATGCAGGGCTGCAATTTGCTGTTGACGCGTCATATTGACAGAGCAAAGGAAAGGGCACTAAAACATCTGTTCTTGGGTTTGAGGATCTGCTTGGGGGTGTCAGCACAGCTGAACATTTCGATGAACAGACGGGATAATTTTGCAAAGCCAGAATGTAACAATGCACCTCATTTTTAGGCTTTACACCACAGTTTTGAGCATTTTACCAAAAGACAAGCACTGCTTTGGCCATCCCACTTTGGAAGGTGCTGGATCCTCTGTCTTGAATTAGAATCAATTGAAACCAACCAGCTGTGTTTTAATTATGTGTCCTCATAACTAGACAAGTCAATTTATAAATGAACAAAGAGAACAGGATAAAGTTTTGTTGGTTTGCTGCTGGGTTACTTCAATAAACCTCCAACTTTATATCAGCAAAGTTAATACATTTCTCTGACTTTTTTCCCCCAAGTGACTGAGGACAAAATTTGACCAAGCATTTCTTCCTTGAGACATTGAAATTTTTAAAGCTACACCGAGAAAGCGCAACGAAAACACAAAACAGACATGAAGACAGAAACAAGAAATAAAAAACTTAGCCAGACTTAAAAGACTGGAGAAAATAAAGGCAGCTTTCAGCTACTATACCCACATCTATTAAAAAGAAGTACCACGATTTTCTAGTTAACCCCTGTGAAGAAAAGGTTAATTTCTCAGGGCTAGGATGCGTCAAAGAATAGCTGAAACATCATAACTTTTTAAACCAGTTTTGTTTCTTTTCTGCTTCACTTTAATTTTGCACTGATTCTACTTGGAACAAGCTAGTGGTTCTGTTTTGTTTTGTTTTTAAAGAAAACCCAAGTCTTAGCCTCGTGAGAAGCATCATTTTGTACTGGTGGCAAATATTTTCATAAGTTATTTAAATTCCTGTATGTGCTTTTCTCACAGTCTGTTTGCATACACACTGCCTCAGCATGCTCCACTCTTCCTATGGGCTGTGGCTCAACAGAAAGCAACGGTTTGGTTGGAAGGTATATGGAGGCCCAGGTAGGAACATTTGACCACGAAACTTGGAAAACCTTATGTAATGCAATAGCACTCTTCAATTCCACATTAGGTTTTACACTCCACTCTGCTGTACCTGAGCATGGTGAAGCCAAATCTGGGTAACACCCCTTTGTAATTGCTGGAGGCATAGCTGCAGAGTATTCAGAGAAAGAAAATGTGCTCAAGCACATTGTGATCTGCCTACTTCCTGTGGTAAGTAGTTTCCAAACTAGCATGGTGCCAGGGAGCCCGAGTTGAACTTGTGGTGAGATCAAACTTACACAAAGTGAATTTATCTGTACCTGATTATGGATGAAGTAGGGCACCTAGACTGAAATTATAAAGTCGAAGATGCAACAAATAGTAATTCTGCATTTCCTTTAAAGATCCCTAAAAAGCTCACCAAACATAATTCCTCACCTTGGGCAGTCAAGATACACAGCATTTGTGCAACTTGGTTAAGACAACAAGGCATCCCAGTAGCAGCATAAAGATAGAAAGCTGAATTATAAACCTCAAATTCAGGCGCAGCATTAGAATTTTTTGGTTCAGAATCACTGACTCACAATGAGCAGGCAAGAAAAACAACAAGCGCTGAAGCAGCAGTTTTGCCAGGGTAGAAGAAAAAGAGGTACGGGAGTTTACTCAACCTGTCCCCCAGTTCTGTTTTCCATAAGCTGACCAACTCACATCTCCAGCCAGACTAATTCTTTGCTGCTCGATTCTACGTTTAGAGAAATATATTCTTAAATGAAACCCCTAACAGACAGGCAGTCAGTCATGCAGAGAAAGAGAGAAATTATTGCTCTTGGCCAGAGCTGCTCCAACCCTTCACACGCCTCAGAAACTGACTGCAAAACCCCATAAATCAAATGGTAGAGCATACAGGAGAGAAAGCATCAGTACTGGACACAACACTGGGGGAAAGAGCTATGTGTCCACAGTTCCCACCTTGCCTGTTTCCTCCGCCTTCTCTGAAAGGGAAGACTGCCATGCCATTTCTGCTGGTTAATGTAATTTACTGCACAAATCAGCATTTTTAAAAAAAGATTCTCACCATGTCATTCATCCCCATTAGCCCTGTGCCCTCCTGTTTTGGAGGTCTTCAGATATAACTGTGAATTGCCTCATTGACTTAAAATCTACTGTACTGATTCACCAACTATGAATCTAGGTGTTGAACAAATATAACAGGTCAACACAGCTTTCATTTCATCAAAATGGGTGAAAGCCAACACTCCTATCTCCAGCCAAGATCTGCTTTTCTCTGTGTGATTTACCATGTCCCTTAGCTGTTTCTGCTGCATACCCCATCATCACAGTTGTCACATTACTAAGCGTGAATTCTTTAAATTAGGCTTTATGACTCATTCCAAAACCAATGAACACCCTTCCCTGCACAGGCTGCACACGCTGTTCCCCGTCCTGCCAGCAGCCTGCCCTTCCAGGTATCTAAGGAAGGAATGCCTGACCACTAAGACAAAGTCTGTTTATGTAAATTTTTCACAAGATTTTACAGGGGAAGATGTGGGATGATATCACCTATAGGGTAAAATGCTTCAGTAAAACAGTAAAACAAGTACAAAAAGGAGTCCAAACATCAGCAATGCAACAGACAATACCCTGCACGAAAGCCTTTTGAATCTCTAATGCTCAAACACAATTCCTCCCTTCCATTCATCTCTAACGCTGAGAGAAAAAATGGGATAAGAAAGGCTGAAGGTTAGGACACCCAGTGCTGTCAACTTGCAACAGGGACAATTGTTGGGAGTGCCAGGAAATAAGTCTGCTTACATGGGCCATTTGCTTCTCTCCTTAATCGCTTGAATGGGAATCCTACAGATCCAGCCCCAGGAGACCAAGGGAAATTAGTAATTAAATCTTTTTCCTGTCTGTTTGACAAGTCTATCTTGTTCAAATCACTGTAAACAGTTAACAGTAAATCAGTTTTGAATCACAGAATAACATAAGGTGTGAAGGCGACAGATAAACAAGTTTGGACACACTATCTGGAATAACAGAGCACATATGGTAGGCGCTCCTGTCTCAGCTATCAGAAGAGTAGCAGAGCAGATTAGAATAATCTTTAACCTGTCATATAATTTGTCTGATGCACAAAGACACAAGGTGCCTAACATAGAGCCAGTTAAAGCGGAGAGCATCGGTATCATGAAGGCAGCACATGGTCCCTCCACTCCCAGTGACAGAGGGGAGCAGCTTCTCCTCTCACACTCTCTCTTTCATGCTCTCCAAGAAATATGAAAGCGGGTGCAATGGGCTTTACTGCCAGTAAATCAGTCACAGCCTTTGGACTCCAGCTGGCAAGGTCTTATCAATGTGCCAGCTGAAAATTCCCCATAAGATATCTTGCTGTTAAACTACTCAAATGTCACCCAAATCCATTGGGATTCCTAGGCTTAATTCCTCCCTAATCCATCCCATCAAAACAAGCACAGAGTCCTCAACACAAGCACAGGTCAAACAAAGATTTAACTACCATGATTATAGAGGGAAGAAATTTAAATGACTGGAAAGAGACTGAGCAGTGTATCCCACAAAACAGGAGCAATGCAGGGACGAGGTTATGCCAGTGGATGGGACAGAGAAGATGCTAATGTCACTGGAAATATCTGAAAAATAATTTTCAAGCAAAGCAAGCTTCACAGGAGAAACAGAAAGTCTCACATAATCAGAGAAAATACACCTAAATATTTAACAAGTTGTTGATTCCTTGTTTTGCCTATTTGCTGCAGTGGTGGGGGCACTCACAGTAGTGTGGATGAGGAAACCTGCAAGGCGAGACCTCTTCAAGCAGAGCTGACGAAGCACATGCATCAGCTGGTGAGTAGGAAGATGACTGTTGAGGTGAAAAACAAATAAAACCAGGATTCACAGTGTCAATTTGAAGTTATTGTGGCCAGGATTTTTCAAGCCCCACATTTGAAATGGAGTTTGCAAAGATTTCACAGACTTTATTGCTCATTATATGAGATGCAGCATCTGTCTGTAACACTTCTCCTAGACTGAGATATTGCACAGGGCCTGTCTCCAAAAGAATGTGTTCCTTGTTAGAGAATTTAATGGCTACAAAATATGGTGTAATAAGCTAGATTAATGAGAATATGAATTATTAAATTGAATAGAAATTCCTATAAAGAATTTAGAGAATGAAAATCCGCGTGCACGCATCATTAAGAACTGTGTGGACAAAGGGTAGGTGGATTACTGGTCTGCAGGCTCAATACAGCAGCCAAGGCAAAAAAGGGAACTAAAAGATATTAAGAGGGTAAGTTGATTGACATCACTTATTACATCTCTACAACAGAAAAAGGCTGTTATGAAACACAATGCCAGTAAAAAAACCCACCTTGATTTCAAGCTAATGGTATTTCTTATTGATGCTCTTTTAAAATAACACTGGATGTATCCACTGCAACAAGCAGTGCCCTGCCGAGCTCCGGGTTGGCCATGCATCTGCACAAACTTGTTTGCTTTTCAGGTCCCCATCAAAAAGCCACCCTTCCCTCCCCCTTGCCTAGTCTGTTCTCAAAGGGCATAGAGCTTCTCTGTGCAAACCAGGATTGACACTTGCCTCCAGCTTTCCCACCCACTCCACGACTCAATACAACCACTTCTGTGAGTCCCCAGAGATGCTCGTTACTGATATAAATTTGCAGCACTCCCTGGAGAGGTGTTTCCACTCCTTCAGGAAAGGGAAACAAATTGTTTAGGATCACAGAGTAGCCTCTGCTCCACTTACATATGTTCTCATGTTTCAAAATAGGTGTGAGCTCCCGTACCTATTGTAGCTCATCTGATTTCACAGGGAAAATTGGTT